ATATATATATATATATATATATATATATATATATATATATGAAAAGGGAGACACATTTACAATCAACAGAGCTTATGATTCAGAGTGCGGTGATTCATGGCAGCTTGGTAATCGTGGCTCCTCACCTCCTCGTGCATGCTGGATCGTCCCCCTGATGAAATGAGGTCAGTGGTGTTATTGGGGGACATGTTCGTCGGGTTAATGGGCGGTTTGAGCCCGTGTGGTTTGAGCTGCGGCTGGTTTCTAACCTTCCATGTGGAACAGGAAAGTGTCGTAAAGTGAATGGATCAGCGGCTTTCTTGAGGACACGTTTCCAAACGCATCTTTATTTTCTATCGTAAAGATAAACAGGAATCTAAGATCATGAAATCCATTTTTATGAACCAGCTTTAAAGGGATAGTTTGGATGTTTTTAAGCTGGATTGTATGAGGTAGTCAGTGTATTACTATATCACTATTACTATAACAGAAGCACCAGCACGAGGGGAAAGTAATGTTCTGCTGTGGACGTATTTTAGACTCCTAAAAGAATCTAAATCAGTTTAAGTGTACGCTATATTAAGAATGTTTTCTTTATCTTGCCGTCAGTGAGACCCTTTCTGACGGTGATCTCTGCTCTCTTCTACCAGACTCCATTGACAGAAACAGTAATTTTACCTCACAGTTGCTGGTCTATCGCTGTCTCCATCGGTTATAAAGTGTTATTTTGTGACTTTGGCGTTTTAAAGGGTTAGTTCAGATTCACCAAAGTCATAAACTAAGCGATCAGGGTCGGTGGGAGACCAGCAGCAGTATTACATGGACTATAGAGAAGAACCTCATACAACCACACTATTAAACATCCAAACTATCCCTTTAAGATGTGCTTCTTAGAAAGGATTATAGATGAACAAATCCATATTGTAGTTCATTTCTACGTCAATATATTTCATCATGACGCTCTGTTAAAGGGACGTTCGATGTGAAAAGAGGTTTAAATTAGAGACCATTAACTGTCATCATCGTCCTCTACCTCTTCACACCTAAAGTCTTCCGTTCCCACATCTTATTATTTCTAATATTTGAGAAAAACTCTCAACCTCTGTAGGTGATCATTGAGGAAAATAAGATAAAACTATTTATCTGAAGGGAAACTACCGTGAAGCAGCTGCAATAAAGTGGGAAGAGTGCAAATATAAATAGTGTGAATAAAATATGTCATTGATCATAAACATATATCGGCTGAACAGTAAACGGTCTGCATGATTCTAGGAGGTGATGCACATAATAAGTATTATAATGCAAATATATTTATGGACACGAAGAGGCTCTGAACCGGTGACCTTTAAGTTACAGGGTGTTCTCCAAACATTAGACCACTTCACCGCCTCCTCCCTCACAACATCCATCCATCACAACACACTTCACTCCCCCCCACCCCCCCATCCACCCCCCCATCCCTAAGAGCCATTAAACACAGTTTTCCCCATCAGGACAGATGTAGCTGTGCGGCACCATTACCTCACATCCATCAAAGCCTCTGCACACCCAGATAAGGGGGGGAGGGGGGGTAATTAGGTAATTATAGGCAACGCGTGATGGATCCCTGTAGTTGGTTTATTTTTGCAGCCGTTAATAAGTCACATTGACAGAGGAGTGATCCCTCCTACAGGTTATTGTATTCCATCAGATCCTTTAGGTTACGTTACAACAGTCGCACCGACTTAAAGTAAAAGTATGTCTATATATTTATGTCAATACGTTTTTTCCCACAAATCCCACAACAACAACATATTTACTAAAAAGTATTGTGTGTTTAACAGCCGTATCCATCTTGATCCACTAAAATAACACTTTGCCGTTCCTCCTCTACTCTTCCTGCTGTCGCTCAGACTCCACCTCATTTATCTGAGAAACCTAAAGAAACAGTTTAAGTGTACGCTATACTAAAAACATTTCCATTGCTTCGTTTCGCCAGACGGGCCTTTCAGGCGAGGACCTGAAGCAGTTATCTCTGCTCTCTTCCACCAGACTCCGTTGACAAAAACAGTCATTTTACCTCACAGAACGCAGGAGTTGCTGCTCTACCGCTGCCTCCATTGCTTAGTTTGTTCGTGCTGTTGTGTGATTTCGGTGAATCTGAACGAACCCTTTAAATAAATACAAACAGATCGAGTTGTTTTGTTACACTTGGACATGTACGCTCTGACATTTCTCCTCTACTCTTCCCGCTGTCGCTCGGCGCTGACGACCATCAGCACCCACAAAAGCATGTAATTTTCTTCATCCGAGTTTAAATGCCACCATTCTGCTTCTGCACTAAAGAATAACTGCCAGACAACCCCTCAGAGAGACGCACTTGAATGTGCTGCAAAACAACAACAACAACAACAACTTGGAGTATTTTGGCACAGATCCAGACGTCAACCACCTCAAGGGTTAAGAAAGTGTGCTACCTCGTCTCCCACACATTCCCTATCCGACTGCGAAAAGGGTGAAACATAATAAGGGATGACAAATTTCACACGCAGCTCAGCCAATTTCATCCTGGAGCAGAGTTAATTACGACAATTAAACCTGGGAGAGCATTCTTTAACTTGATTATGGGTTATTATGGGGATACAGTAGGTACCAGACACAGTCAAGGATGAACGGCAGCGCCGCAGCGTTCATAATCAGATCGTCCTCGAGGGCTCTGCTGCTTTCAGGAAGAAGAAAAGACGTCTGCTAAGTCAAACAATATGAAGCCTGAGATGTTGCTTTTAAAGCACCAGGTTCCTCCAACTGCTGAGTGTAAAGTGGAGTCTCTGCTTGGATCACACCGATGACACATCAAAGTGCAAAAAGAAGAAAAGTGTTACAAAGCACGAACAGATGACGTCTCAGAAAAACAAATCTAAAAACAAAGCTTGAGAGAATATTATGTCCCAGAAATAAGAAATCTGTGAGAAAACCAAGAAAAACCTTCAGTATAATTCATCTAATCTCCGGTTCAGTGATACCAAATGAATAGATTTTTTTCTGCCTAAAAATGATTAAACCAGAGATTAAAAACCAGGCAGCACTCACCGTTCCCCTTCCCGTCTCCGATGCCCTCGGGGAGGCCGAGAGTGGCCGCCGTGGGCATGGGGCCCAGGATGGACTGCAGCGACGGGGCTTTTCTCTTTGGGATGTCCCCCTCTAGCTCCTGGTCCTCATCCTCCTCCTCATCCTCCTGGTCCGGTCCCTTATGCTCCAGTTTCATCAGGGCCTCCAGCGTGAGCTCGCCGAGCTCTTTGCCAAAGTGTTTGGCCACGGCCTGAAGCACGTCCTCGTCTTCTGCTTCTGCTTCCTCGCAGTCCAGCATCAGAGGCGACGTGGAGCGGTCGTCGCCGTCGTCTTTGTCAATGCCTGGAAGAAGGAGAGGCAGAGTGTGATTCAGGAATAATGTTTAATTTATCTCTTTAAAGGGACAAAGAGACACCAGGGGTCAGGATCAGATCAGCAAGCCAGGAAGCCAGCGTTTGGATAATTTAAGTACCAAACGGGCTCAGAGACAAATACGCATTAAAATCAGATATCAAATTGTTAAATTCAAAGGATGGTAGTTTATTATTATCTCAATGAGATAGACTGTGACCGGTTTAAAGATGGTTCCAATGCATATTTTAATTGTACACAGTATTCACTATTTACTAATTACCACAGTGCACTTTTTGCAGTTAGCATAAAATAAAATGAATATACTGTACTGTTTGTTTTACAAGTTAAACAAACAAGATGTTGAACATGTTAATCAGTGAGTTTTAGAAGTGTTGGCAGGCGGATTTATTTTAACCTTCGGTAAGAGCCAGGCTAGCTGTTTCCCCCCGTTTCCAGTCTTAATGCTAAGCTAGGCTAACTACCTCCTGGATGTCACTTCATATTTAATGGACAAATAAGAGAGTGGTATTGATTGTATTATTCAATTCTCGCCAAGTCAGCTTATTTTACAAAATGTCACAACTCAAAAAATAAATTTCATAAAGAGAAAATACAATATTTTTGTGTTCTTTTGTGTTGTCTAAGACACTCCTGGAGCTGTTTCAGGGCGAGCAGCTCCTCCATTAGAGTTTAATACTGATCTTTAGGGATTTAACCACAGCAAGAGTAGCTGATGTACACTTTACATTTAGGGTTTAACCACCTAAAAATCTAAGTTAAATTGCGCACGTTATTTTGACTATGAAGCAATCTGCCAATCACTTTTTTCAATTAATAAGTTAATTGTTCAGCCGATAGAATCTCAGTAGAGTGAGAAAAAGCTATAACAATGTCCCGTAACTAGAAGGTCACTCAACTAGTTATGCGTTTAATGACAAATGTGCCATGTTTTTAAATAATTATAATAGTTTGCTTCACCTTCACCATGTTGGATCTCATTAGACAGTCAATGCTCAGTGGTTTAACAAACAACAAGCTACAGTATCTGGTCACATTGTATAATTATACATCAGATTTACATTTAGAACCACTGTCGTAGAAAAACGTTAGATATAAAATGACACAAACAGTGACATGATCTCATTTCCTAAAATCACTGAGAATAGAAATGGTGCTAAATAATCACATCCAGACAATATAAACGGGATCATAATTTAGTCCGTTCGCACTCGGGTCCTGGTATCCAATTAAAAATGTGTCCTTTAATCAGCCTCAATTAAAATGTCCTCACACAGACTTCAGCACACAAGTCAGAAAAAGCAACTCGATAATCAGGGGAGAAGAAGAAGAAGAAGAAGAAGAAGAAGAAGAAGAAACGCCGACGGATCTTTGAAAGCATCGCAGCAGCAGCTGGAAGAGCAACGCGCCTGAAATCAGTGACAGCCTGAGACGCCCCCCCCCCACCCCACTGTGAGGAAACAGGGGGGTACGTGTGTGTGTGTGTGTGTGACAGATAAACAGAAAAGAGTCAGAGATAAAGAGCCAAAGGTAGAAACAGAAAAAGAGAAAGAGTGACAGGGAGTGCACTCTGATGCGTGTTGTTTTTACATGGGTGGGCCTCTGTATGTGTGTGTGTGTGTGTGTGTGGTAAGGGGTCGTGTCCACGTGTGTATCGACGAGTACCATTGTTGAGTTGAGATTCAGATAAACTTTATTATCCACACGATGGATACTAGAGTTGTCGAGTTGTGAACTCCATTCACTTTTTTTAAATCACTCTCAAACAGAAGTCTAAACAAACTGGCGCTGAGCTCTGCTGCTGGAGAAATCCCGGGTGTGTTCTGGTCTCTATTCAGACTCTCTGGAAGGAATCAGCACCAATCGACTCAAAAGACGACCCACTGCCGCCCTTTCTATCGATGTTGTTCAACAGAATCTTCTACAACAGATGACCTAATCTATACCACGCCACAAAGAATTGGGAGAAAAAGCAAATGAGACCGATCTTTCATAAATGTGTATGTACCGTATTGTAAATTAGGCAAATATGCCTTGATTTTCTGATCATTTGTTTGCTTTTTTTGTATTCTTTTTTGTTTCTCATTTACTTTTTGCTCGGTACGATGTCGTGTAAAGGCCATAGGGGGGGTAATATTACGAGAATAAAACTCTGATATTCTCCGAGATGTAAATCACAAAGTTTTTTTGTTTAATGAAACTAACACTGAGGTAACAAGAGTCGCAGTATGCAAAATATAACAACTATGTAAGTACTTTTTCACAAAAAGATCATGAAAGAAAACACGTGCATCTTTCAGGACCTTCGTCTCTCTCAGAGAGGACATCAGAAACAGCAATCTTTAGGATTCATCTGATAACCGATTCGCAAAGTAAAACAACGTGTCTCACATAAAGATAACGTACAATGTACACCGATGTCTGCATTGTTTTTATAAAAGAACACAAAAGACAAAACGTATCCATCAGGACCTTCGTCCTTACCGCAAGAACACTTCTTTCATTCAGACTGCGGCTAAAGTCGTGACTTTAATCTCAGACTACCATCATACTCTCCTTATAATGTTCCATAATACAAATTTTAAAAACAACACTTTCTGCTCCGTACCTTCTTTAGCGTAGGCGGCGTAAACTCCTCTCAGTTTGGGTCGACAGCTCTGAAGCTCTGCGTCTATTTCATCCTGGTAGACCTGAATTTCATCTGTTGAGGACAACAATAGAACACAAAAACAAACAGAATGATTCCTGGTTCAAACTAAGTTACAAGCATCAATGAAAAGTAGAAAGTTCTCATGTCCCTGAAAAGAAATGAGACTTATCTTGCATGCTAACCCTTTAAATTACATCTCCCATAATTAGAATATACTATGTTAGTGCTGCAACATGATGTACGGGTGATTACGTGTCGGGCTGGAGCTGAATCGTGTTTTTAGTTTCTAACACCGACGTGCATTTAGTAAACGTCAGCCAAATGGCAGACATATCCCAGACAATGAGACACGACACTGTAGTGAAAGAGTCCCACTGAACAGGATTCATCTTTCACAGAAGAAGAAGAAGAAGAAGAGCGAGTAGCCTGAGAGTCAAGATGCATTCAAGGTGACGGAGAACAGACGAGGATATCTCATTCATACCTTCGACGTCATTCATCTTCTTCTTCAGCTCGACCTCCAGCTAGAGGGACAGAGACAAAGGGAGAGTTGAACCAGAGAGAAGCTTCGACAGTGACTACAGGCGATTGCAGAGTGAAAACAGAAACAAAGAAACACTCTGATAGCTGGTCGACGACTCTTCTGCTTTTTGTATCTTCTAGGAGCCTCGTCACATTCCTCAAGAGAAGATGTGGGCAATGACTGAGCTGCAAGTCTTGTGTAAAAATACGTTAGAATTAAAATAGCTTAACTAAAAGAAAGACTCAACTTGACACGAACATCACTAAACTGGAAGACTCCGTGTTTCAGGAGGTGGCTCAATGAGATGCAACAAAAAGATTGACCCAGCAAGCCTGGTTCTGATCAAAAGGAAACAACCTTCCTTTTGTACCTTCCAGCACCTTTAAAGCTCGACACATCGTATCGTGTTTGTTTAAACTGCACAAAGTCAAAGAGTAAAAATTACAAATCGTTGTTTGAACCTCGATTCTCCAAAGATGTGATAAAAGCTCCTCTCTGCTAAGTGAGAGGACGTAGAGAACTGTGATCTCTGACGGTTTCACTTTGGAGGTTAATACTCTTCATTAATTATTGGAGACGGCCTGAAGGCAACATGTAGTCATCAAGAAAATACAGTAGAAGATGAAATTTTAATATTCCCTGAGGGGGTAATGGGTAATCTCTGAAGCAATTATCTAAATTGATAAAAACACAGATGAAAAACTGTGGCCGTGAACATTTAGTTCCGATATCGACACATTAAAGGGATCATTTGGATGTGTTGAAGTGTAGTGGAGGCACGTATTAGCCAGTGTATCACACAGTAGACGTTATATTCGTCTGTGCTCATCAAAGTCTCCATTGACTAAAACAGTGATTTTACCTAACAGACGTATTTATTAGGTGATATTTTGTCACTTTGTTGTTTTAAAGGGTTTGTTCTGATTCACCAAAGTCACAATAACACAACCTAACTAACAGATGGAGGCACCGGTGGAGCTGCAACTCTTGTGTTCTGAGGTAAAATAACTTTCTGTCAATGGAGTCTTGTGGCTTTAAAGAGAGCACAGATGGATATGACTGACATCCCTTAAATCGACACATGCCAGCTTGTTTTCTTTCCCCGATAGTGTTCGTTAGAATCCAAACCTTATTGATTTTTTTCTTCCTCAGTCCTTCAGTAAAGGAGGGCGGGTCACACTCCTCATCCAGGTCCATCTTCATGAACTCTTCGATGGTCAGCTGACTGGTGGGCGTGTCCTCGAACTCCGTCAGTCTAACGCAGGGCGACAAGTTAAAATCATCAAATCAAACTAAGATGAAACGCAAAGTTGGATTGATGCCACAGATCATTTAAAACAGCAGCGGGTTTAGAAAAATATGAATCTCTGGCTCTGACTAAAGCCTCTATCTTCAATCATTTTACTGTCAGAATTTTCTACAACTATCAAACTTCATCCATCAAGTTGGCTTTTAAATGAGAAACGTCCAAGTCAAACACACCCACCTTTTTCTCAGCGTGGTTTCACACACTTTTACAACGCTGATGATTTCTTTGATGGTGCGGCGGAAGTCGTGCATACGAGCAGCGACCAGAAGAGCTAAACACAGAAAGAACAACACAATGTGATGAGATTCAACCAACGTGGCTCCAGCATGTCTCACAATAGAAACGTCTTCCTTCTGTTCCCCGTTTAGGAAATAAAACCTGTTGATACACTCATACTGATGTAACAAATGTACACACAGGGTCAAATATTAGGTTTGGTGTTTGTGCATCTCAGGAGGACCTGAGCTGAAAGGCCACACAGAAACAGCTTTAAAAAGTAGCAACGGGAGCACTAATATTATGCAATGAATCGCAGCGCCAGCCTTGAAGGGGAACAGTTACATAACCGTCATTAGAGTTGCCTCGCTCAAGAGCTGCTGAAAGATAGATGCACACTTCTAACAGCCTTTAGGACTGAAGTGATGGCTTTTAGCTCAAACAGTTTTACTGCCGTTACCTAGAAACCACTTCAAAGTCGCTTGTTTTCTTTTTTTTAAGCAAGATCGACTCAGATTTCTTACTTTACATTCATGGCCTTCTTTGTCCTGAAACATGTTTGTGGTTCATCGACAGCGATGTTTATTTTGCATCATATTTAGGAAGAAACGTCTTCCATCTGACGATATCCCTTCTCAATGATTTATGATGAGGGATTAATTATTCAGGCGATGCAGCAGTGGAACAGAGAGGAAGAAAAAAAAAAACTAAAATTGAAAACCGTGAGCGTAAACACGCAGGAAGCCCCCCTTTGATTCCATTCCAGGACGTCTTAGCAGCTAATGCATCAAAGCAGAGTGCATTGGGGTCGACACCGGCAGAGATCAGCTGTTTCACAAAAGACTCAAAAGGAAGACAATGACGAGCGGGAGGAAAATCAACAGCGGAGGATAAACGGCCTTAAGTTCAGGCAGGTGCTGGCGGGTTTGCCTCAATCACTCGTCTCTTTGGCAGATAATCAACAAAAGGCCCAAATACATACGGTGACCTAGTTGGCAGAAGAATCTGAGAGAGACGGAGGATTCACCAGAACACTCTGATCATCGTGTCACAGAGATAACGGGCCTCCTGGGTCCCCTCTGTGGAAGTCTGATTTAAAAGACTAGAATTTATCTAGAAGATCATCTATTACAAGCTTAGAAATGATGACAACTGATCACAGAATAATGCAAACGCACCTGCAGATGTGCAGCACTTCAACTCATTGTGAAGCCACGACTACAAAAGTTTAAACATGTCGTGTTATTCTCCTGTTCAGGGAAACAGGATAATTTTCCAGGAAAGCATAAAACTGTTGTTTCCTTCTTACCAGTTTCTGTACAAAACTATCCACTCGAGGTGTGGAGATTTCCCAATTTTAAAATGCATAGCGATGCGAACGTGAACGATTCTGCATCGATGCAGTGACAAAACATAATTTTGCTGACATTTACGGTTGCTCTCGTGTGTCTCTCCTCTGATTTCTGCGTTTCAACTTGTTGCTTTCGCCGCTAACATTATTAGCTGCTCTGGTTCAACAATGTTGGGCTGAAACAAAGTGAAAGCTGGCTAAAATTCAACAGCGGTTTAACCCCGATGGGAGACGAAGTGACTTAAACCAAGTAAGAGAAGAAGCGCTATGAGTGAGGAAATGTCTGCTAGCGGCTAAGCTAACTCATGTAGTGTAAAATGCTATAGACATTCAGGAAGTGCCCTGTGTGAGAGCTGCTGTGTGAACATCTTATCTTTGTAGATGGGAAGCACTGCAGAAAGATTCGTGTTTAGTTTTTGTAATGTTTACGTACTGAGGGGCTCACACAGATACTGATATTGAAAAGATGTAACTTTTGATATAATAGACTATTGAAGTTGTATTTATGAAAGCACTTTCTAAATAAAAAAAGAACTGCTGCATGTGCAGTAATAGAGAAGATTTAGGATGCGATACATTGAGAATCGTTGTGCATTCGAATCCTTTGACAGCTGCATTATAATCAGATCTGACCGGATCACTAGATGCTAAAAGCTAATTCTGCTCCCTGAGCTAACAGGAAGGTTTGCTCGTTGCAATACTGAACGTTTTCTCCGAATATATTTTGCATTTCAAGCAGGGACAAAAACAACTCCTTTCAAAAAGCTCCAAGTTATTCTTGTTTGTATCTTATTGTTGACTTGTTCCCTCTTTCTCCAGCTCCTTTCATCACACAGATACAATCACCAGATTCTCATGAAATCTACGTATTATAACCCCCGGTAAAGGGAGTGAGCTTGTGGTAGTGTAAGTTTAGACAAAGAGGTGTCAGGCTGAGTTACAAACACTGATAGTCTCAGAGTATGAGGTTGAAGTATCCTGATTAAGGGCACCTTGATGTCGGATGCCAGCAGAGCAGAGAGCGTTAATCACTTTGTGTCCTCAGAGGACTGAAACCAGGAATCCTCTAATGACAGACCTGCAGCTCGGAGCCTCCGGGCTTCTGAAAGATAAATCTCCCAGAGCAGTAGCACCGACACTAGATATGTAACACCGCCACCATCTGATGGTTACCTGCCCCACAGAGTCCCGACGGCCTTCGTCCTGTGTGCATCCAGTCCCTCTTCATCCTCTGCACCAGCCTCATGGCCGTCATGGACACGTCGTGGTTCTTCTCCCCGAACTCCAGCAGCTGGGCGAAGCGGGGGATGTAGAGGCACGGGTCTGGTGGTGACGGGAGACGTTGGGTTTATTAGTCGAACCGGACGTACGTGTGATCTCGTAAGTGCACGTTCAGATTCAGCCATTCGCTCAAAGTCTGGAGCATTTGTTCCTTAAAGGAAACAAAATAGGTTGTAGGACCTTTTGTGTTTGTCTGAATTTAGGAGGATAATTCGAAAACATTTCTTTAAAATCTAATTATATTGGTGGGAAATAAAGGCAATGGAAGAAAGAAGAAGTGATGGGTTGTCTGGATGCAGAAGAAGATTTTAAAAGGTTTCTTGCAGCACAGAGAGAGAAACATTTAAAAACAATCCTCTGCATCTTAGAAAGATAAGTTGACTTTATTGTCCACCTCTGTGGAAATTTGTCTTTGGCTTCTCCCAAGTACGGCAAAGGTACATCCAACACACATAACACCATTAAATACACTGTATATTATATACACCTGACGCAATTTATGTCATCAAAAGCCCAAATTTAAAGGAGAGAAGTTCATTTTCTGAGTGCATCCCTCATCTCAGATAAATCATTAAGACTGCACTAAAATTAACCTTCACCATTTTATTTATGTGTCCGACGTTCTGTGTGTGAATTTATCCAGCAAAAAAAAAAACAAAGTTCCCCCGTCACTGATGGTTGGATAATAATTATGCTCAAATCTGACTTTCCAGGCTCACTAAAGAGTAAGTTATTGAGTAGATGATACAGTGAGTGAAAACTGCTTCATGTAATCTGAAGCAAAGGCGGTAAACTACCTGGTTTCATGGTGTTTAGTATCCTGTGAGTCATATTCAGTGTTTGTCTCGTGTGATTAACTGGAGAGGATAAATCACGGCAAAGAGAGCGTACACTTCCATCATGAAACAGTTTCAGAGACTGATATCAGATCTGTTTGGCTCTGCTGCCAAAATTCTCTCAGGATGGCACTTTGACCAAACCTCTGTCCAATAAACAGCCTGCGTGTGTGTCCATGTGACTTTTGTTTACACGTCCTGGTTCGTGTCGGAGCAGTAAACAAAAAACAAAAATAAATTGCAGCCAAGTCATCTTTTTTACCACTCTGGTTCAGACCAAAGAAGATGCAGTTTGGGCACACACACTCCGGCCCAGGGGCCCAACGGGTTATTTGAAGTCACCGTTAGTAGTAACAGTGTAGTTAGGAAGTCAAACAAGATGCAAAAATACCCAAAAAAAACAAAAGCTACCAAAAAAAAAGGAAACTACCCAAGTAAAAACACAAAACTACAAAAAAAAGATGCAAAACTACAGGAAACTCACAAAACTACCTTAATAAAAACAAAAAACTACAAAAAAAAGAGACCATACTACACAAAAACCCACAAAACTACCAAAATGAAGACAAAACAGACACTAAGCAACCCCAGAGAGACACAAAACGTCTACAACGAGATGAAAAATAACCAAAAATATGTCTCCTAGAATCTGTGGCTCCTGTTCTTATGTAGGACGGGTGAGGGGCCCCTAATATGTCTATGCTCATGGGGGCCTGTGGTCTCACAATCCGTCCAAACATACAGGTCAAAACCTACTAGCACGTGTGAGCTTCCCAGTTCAACCAGCCTCCTACTGCCGGCTGCTAACTGGCTCCACTGGAGAACTTGAGGATTAGCATTTTTAGCTCAAGTGCACCTCTGAGAGCAGCCCGTTTCTCAGTCAGAGTCTCCGTCCAGATTTTTGCAGCTGGCGAAAGGATTTGAACGGGCAACCTTCCAATCACGAGTCCTTCTGCCTCTCGAATGTCTCTGAGAAACGTTGCACAGTGTCACATCATAAACTTTATGGAAAATACTGCAGCTGAAGAGAAGAAAACTATCAGAACCACCTGCTTCTGAAACCAAACCGCATGGCAGGTTCTTGTTATTATTCTAACAATGATTTTACCATGCTAAGAAATCTAATTTAATACTAAAATTAGGAGGAATCGTCTTTCCACTGTAGCCCGGAGACAAAGAGAAAAGTAGAGTTTCGTGCCGCGGTTCTGACAGCGGACTCAAATATCTTTGAAGTCAGCGGCTGCGTTTAAAGAGAGCAGTCCAGTGGAGAGCTGGTAGAGCCAGCTGGTAATAAGATCCAGGCTGCCCCCCCCCCCCCTGCACCATGTAATGATACGTTTGCAGAGCTCGCCATCACTGCTCCATGTTTAACTGGAGTCTGCAAATACTGGACTAGGCCAGATCCCCACAGAGAGGAAAAAGAGGCTGTTTAAGGAGAATAAAATGCACCTTCACTCCTCTTTCACTGTCGAACAGAATCAATCTGTGACGCTCAAACAGCCCACGAGTCATTCTGTGATGGAGCGCTGTAGTTTACTCCGTGTACCCACTTTCCCCACGACCTGCCTCGCCTACTTCTGCTCCACATATTCCCCCCAAATTACTCCGACCACCTCCAGAGAAAAGGGGGGCCGTGAACTCACTCCTTTCAATCAGAATGTGGGAGCGGGGACACATGAACAGCTTTAAAAGTGTTAGCGTTCAGCTGTGGGGAAGCTGCGCCCTTCCCTCAAAAAACAAACTTATACTGCAATGCATTCTGGTCTTTGGTGCTGTGGGTGTAGAAATTAGTCTCAAAGAGTTTCCTTTTTCTCTGACGGACTTCGAGAGACAGCCGACAGTGAAAACCTGGCTGAATACTGATGATGTTTGAGATCATCGATATCAAACTGAAGCTGGAGGAAATGTTTGGATGTGTCACGTTTCTTTGGTCAGTTATCCACATAAGTAATAAAGATAAGTCATCAAAGACTGATATGTACATTCACAATAGCTCTTTTAAATAGAGCACTTGAATATGTTAAATTATTTTACTTCTGCACTTCTTAAATCTACTGTAATTCTACTCTTACCGTTATATAAATTATGTTATTTCTGCCATGTTAATGTTTTTCATGCTTTATGATAATCCCTTTTAAACAAATAAACCTTCCTTGGGTTTTATAAAGTGGTAAAAACAAGTAGAATTGAATAGATTTTTATATTTATAAAATTATTATACGTTTGTATGCGTCGGCTTTTCATTGACTTTACTGTTTTAGTGAGGCGTTGATTAAACTTTATGGTTATAGTTTTTAACAGTGTAACTAACGTCCACAAGTTGTCGTCAACATGTATGACCAAATATATAGTCATTATCAGTAAATAAACATTTTGAATGTGGATTACCTAACAATACTAATCTCAAGGAAGGTCAGGATTTGTAGTGTGTGTGTATATATATATATATATATATCAATCAAACTAAAAATATATCAAATAAAAAACATATACAACATAAATAAAAATATTTAAAAAAATATATATATATTATATATATATATATAATTCTGAAATAAATCATGCATAAATGAGTACTTTTACTTTCGGGTCTTTAAGTATATTTTGATGCTTTTACTTTCGAGTACGATTTTGAATGCAGGACTTTTACTCGTATTTTACACTGTAGTATTACTACTTTTACACTGTAGTATTACTACTTTTACACTGTAGTATTACTACTTTTACTCGAATAAAAGATGGGACCACTTTTTTTTTTTTACTTCACGTTTCTGGGTCAACTTCTCATCCTCATTAGTGTACAGTCATATATTAAACGTTGTTATTTTTATTTTTTATCTTTCCACCGGGTCTAATCAGTGGGCACAGAGGCGGAGCGGTTTGGCCCGGTGACGCACTCTGCGGAGCTGCCGGGGGGAGGTGCTTCGGCTCTCCTGACGTCACTGGTTGACTCCTCTCTGATTGGTCTTCTGCTAGCCCTGGGCGTCCGAGGGGATCACGACGAAAAAAAAAAAAAGCAGAAGAAAATGAAGCAGACCTTAAAACTCTCCGACAAATGAGTGTTTACTTCGGGGGAGAACGGAACGCGACACCGTAGCAGCTCCGTGGCGGTCGACCGTTGGTTTCGGGATAAAGACGGAGAAACATCGGTGACGATTAACGGAGAGGAGGGTGTGGGAAGGACTTGAATACCAGCTGCGACTATCCGGATTACCCACTCACTGGAGAGAAAAGGGAAAACAAGCGACGCTCCGTGGACATTTCTCCGGTTCAGAGAGGATGAGGTGACCGTTGGGTGACCGTTAAGTGACCGTTAGGAAACGGGGGGAGAAAGTGCTCGCGGACGGAAGTTGGAAGCGGAGGAAGAAAACGGGACTAACGGATATTTTTCATGTTGTCGTGTAAACTTCGCTGTCGATGCCGATTTAAAGCGGCGCTGTAGGAGCCCGGAAAGAAACCCTCTCTCTCTCTGTATAGTTGGTTAATTTACAGCGAACGGAGCGATTCCACCGGATATTAAAGCTTGCGCCGATGCCAACGGCAGACTGCAGGTTGCTCCATCATGGCCGGATCATGAGGTGTTTGACTTATCTGCTCCTACTTCCAGAAACACTGAAAAAGTCCAAGAAGGTGGCCAAGCTGCCGGTATGTTATGAGATCCTGACTCTGTCCCTGACGAGCAAGAAGAAGAAGCAGCAAGAGGAGGAGGAGGAGAAGATGGCTGCGGAGTTGTACCCCGCCGCCAGCCCCAACAACACCAACCTGTCCACTGGCACCACGGTGGCGGACACCGAGAAGACCAAGGAGGTGCAGGTGAGCCAGGTGGCAGGCGGTGGTGGCGGGAGCAGCGTGGCGACCACACCGACCACCCAGCTGAACATCAACAACAACAACGTAGACCCGCCGAGCTGGCAGTGCAGCCACCCGACACTGAGAGAGAGGTAACTGGAGAAAACATTAAGAAAATATAATGTCTTAAACTGTCGTAAATATCACGTGTGCGCGCGCAGTAGCTTTAAAAGTCGCTGGCAGGATTTATAGAGGAGCTATAAATGACCATAAAAGTTCATTAACTATCATTATGAAGTAACGACAGGCCACTGTGTTAATATGATGGTAATAACAATTAAAGATTTAAAGCGCGCTGTAGTCTCAGCAGTCACTCCATAGTGGGGTTTTATTTTGAAACTTTCTTCCTGCAGCATCTACTTTTAATGTTTTAAAATGTGCATGTGAGGAAAACACCTCCAGGGTTGCTTGACTTTACAGAGCTGTAATAATAAAGATTAATATTATCTGTGGGGTTTCAGTGTAACATCCATCTAAAAACACCAACAACTCAGTGGATTATTAATGTAAGTAATGATTAGTTGCAGCCCTACTGCTGTAAATCCTCAAACCAGAGAAAATAACCGGTGTCTCTGGGCAAAGGGAGTGTGGGAGGACTGGCTGTTATTCAATACTTGATTGAGGCTTATTGGTGAATCCTGCTCCTGCTTTTAGGAATGCCTTGATGTTTAACAATGAGCTGATGGCTGACGTCCACTTCATTGTGGGTCCCTTGGGGGGGTCTCAGAAGGTCCCAGCACACAAGGTAAGGACATGTTACACGTTATGACTGAAGGCAGATCTGTACCATTGATTTTAATCTGAGGCGAGTAGAGAAGTTGTGTCTCTGCAGCACGACGCTACTGAAAAGGAGGAAAGAGCTCCTCCTGCTCCTTTATTGAACTTGAGAGTGATTCTGCTTGCATGTGTCTCTGACGCATATGTCTCCTCCTCCCCTCCCCTCCCCTCCTCTCCTCTCCTCTCTCCCTCCCTTCCTTCCTTCCCCTCCCAGTATGTGCTGGCCGTGGGAAGCTCGGTCTTCTGTGCCATGTTTTACAGCGATCTGGCAGAGGAGGAGTCGGAGATCCATATCCCAGATGTGGAACCTGCTGCTTTTCTAATTCTGCTGAAGTAAGCCACTCGCTGTCCCTCACGCAGCCAAAACCAGAAGGGGAGAGATGACAAGCGTAGTCAGTGTCACTTCAGAGCGTATTATTACCCATCCAAAGCTAAGCAGCAGAGGCCCATGCCAAAGTGCTGGGAGCGCTGGAGAGCAGGGCAGCAGCAGCGTTCAGTAATTGCTGGTTTTCTCAGCGCTCTTTGTCCAACTACAAACATTTTTTTCCCGTCATCCACAGCCTGACAATTTTCTTTGAGGGGGGAATGTATGCAGACTAGTAGTTATAAATATCCTGCCTTTTGTTGCTCATTCAGTAGCATTGGCTGAGCCAGCACCACGGACTGTTGCATGTTGGGACTTTTGTGAAGTCATTACACAATCCTCTTTAGGAAGAAAAACTGATTTATTTGTGGAAATTAAGATGAGGAATTGAGCATTTCCCAGAGTTTTTAAAGATCCAAAGTGAATAAATGTGGTTCTAACATTCCCAATAACTTGTCTCATTAGTAACAGTTGTCTCTTCATGCCAGTGAGTTGATTTCTGTACATGTGCAGCGATTTAAAGGGTTATTTTCCGCTTCACAGGTACATGTACAGTGACGAGATCGACCTGGAGGCGGACACGGTGCTGGCCACCCTGTACGCTGCCAAGAAGTACATCGTCCCTGCGCTGGCCAAGGCCTGCGTCACCTTCCTGGAGACGAGCCTGGAGGCCAAGAACGCCTGCGTGCTGCTCTCCCAGAGCCGCCTGTTCGAGGAGCCCGAGCTGACGCAGCGCTGCTGGGAGGTGATTGATGCCCAGGCCGAGCTCGCGCTGTGCTCAGAGGGCTTCTGCGAGATCGACCTGCAGACGCTGGAGATCATCCTGCGGCGGGAGACGCTCAACACCAAGGAGGTGGTGGTGTTTGAGGCCGTCATGAACTGGGCCACCGCGGAGTGCAAGCGGCAGTGTTTGGGGCCGACGACCCGCAACAGAAGAGAGGTGCTCGGCAAGGCGCTGTTCTTGGTGCGCATCCCCTCCATGAGCCTGGAGGAGTTCGCCGACGGGGCGGCGCAATGCGACATCCTGACACTGGAGGAGACGCACAACGTGTTTCTGTGGTACACCGCGGCTAAAAAGCCCCACCTGGACTTCCCTCTGGCTGCGAGGCAGGGTTTGGCGCCGCAGAGGTGCCACCGCTTCCAGTCCTCGGCCTACCGGAGCAACCAGTGGCGCTACCGCGGCCGCTGCGACAGCATTCAGTTCGCGGTGGACAAGAGGATCTTTATTGCTGGTCTGGGGCTGTACGGGTCGAGCGGCGGCAAGGCCGAGTACAGCGCCAAGATCGAACTGAAGAGACAAGGGGTGACGCTGGCGCAGAACCTGACAAAGTTCGTGTCGGACGGGTCGAGCAGCACGTTCCCGGTGGGGTTCGAGCACCCCGTTCAGGTGGAGCAGGACGCCTTCTACACGGTGAGCGTCGTGCTGGACGGGAATGAACTCAGCTATTTCGGCCAGGAGGGCATGACAGAGGTGCAGTGTGGGAAGGTGACATTTCAATTCCAGTGCTCTTCCGACAGCACCAACGGGACCGGAGTACAGGGAGGACAGATCCCAGAGCTCGTGTTCTATGCGTGAGCCGCTCCGGACTGCTGACGGGAACAAACTGAGGCTCCTCCCTTTGGCCTCCCAGCCTTCAGAGTAATGTAGCATTAAAGACACTTGACTCACACTAAACGGCCTGGTTAGTTCAGTGAGAGACTATTTTAAACACCAAGGAGCTGTGGTTTTATCTTATTTAATTTAATGTTTTTTATTTAAATACTGGGTTAACGTTATTTGCTCTGACGCCTGTGTTCAGGGCTATGGCTGCTGTAGGAACAACATTAATACGGTGATTTGTGGTTATGTAATCAAGCTGAGCTCCGCCACTGGAACTAGTAGGGACCGCTTCACAATTGTGTGATTGCAAGTCTATATATGCAATGTTGTTACTATAGTCTAAGCAGCAACATTACACCAGGAGCAACCTTTTATGTAGTGTTATGATTCTAAATGCAAAAAAAAAAAAAAGAAGTAGATATCTTGTCAGAAAGCAGAGTTGTTTTGCACTTCAGAGGACGGCCTCACAAACGTTGTGTCTTTTGTAAAAGAAACCTGTTAGCAGCTTGATGCTGTTAAAGATGACCAGATGTGTTCTGTACAAGAATGCTTATACACCTGATGATGAAACATAAAAAGGTTATAATGTGATCGGAGATACATGTCTTGATTTGAGGGACTGCAGCGCCCTCTGGTCACTGCAGCGGGAACTACACCCGAGTTTCTATGAGAACACCTGGTTCCTGAGCTGTGGATGATTTCATATCGAGTATCATCGTACTGATTCTGATCTATTCAGTAAGGTTTTGTTCATAGTCACAGACAAGCTGATCAGTAAAAACCTACATTTTCTGGCGATAAACAGACAAAACACTTCCTAAATAATTTGTCAAATAATTGAGAGATTAGTCGCTGATGTTCTGTAGTTGCAGCCCTATTTTTGAACACTAACTTATCTACATGAAAGACATCCGCCAAAGAGCGGACCCACAAGTTTAAAAGCTCTACTCAGCAGAGTGCAGCACAGTGAATCCAGCAGAAGCAGGTGAGTGTGTACCTATAGCCGGGGCGTTGATGCACAGCTCTCTGGACAGCACCAGGAAGGTTCTTCCCAGCATGTAGACGTTCACCTGTGGAGGAGAGCAGGGTTGTTTTTAAACAAGAGTAACAGAAAAAAAATCCAGCGTAACTGGCAGCACAAGGTTTTCTTCGAAATGGATTTAGTGTTTACATGATCCTGTACGTCCCAAGTGACTCCAGGGAGCCGTTAGACTCATTCAGAGCCACTTCTAGAGTTACAGCTGGAGCATCAGGCTGACATGAAGACCTCACAAGATGCTGGATGAGACACAGGCCGTTAGGATATGAAATAAGGTTAAGTGTTCTGGTTACATAACCGACCTGCAGGGTGAAGGATGTGTGATTAAAGCTGAGCTATGGCCCACTTGAAGGGATGTTTTCCCCTCATGCATCTCAAACTCACAGCTCTTTCTGTTAATCTCTGATCTAAATATCTGCACATTTCTTGTATCTAGATTACAGATGTGACAGATACAGTGTCTCTCTGCACCAATGTTTCTTTGATATTTTAACTGAGATGTTAGATATGTATAGTGATTTAGTTTGGCTCGTTGAAGTCATCTGATCACGTTGAGGATTTACATGTACGCCTCTATTTAAATCACCGCAAATGTGACTTTTAGAAGACATCTGCAGTGACAGTTTTACCAAAAACAGCACAAACAATTAAGATTTCAGTATTTTCATAACTGACTGAGCTTTGAGGTGAAACAAAGTTATTTGAGCCACAGAAAGAGGGAAAAAAGACGGTTTAAATGACTTTAACTGGTCTAAACGACACAAAAGTAAGACTTCTGCAGAGAAGTCCACGGCTGCAACAATCACACTGTTGGTTTAATAAGTGCAGAACGTCTCCAGACCGCCTGCAATCGGATACAAAACATTTTATGAGGAACATTACTGCCAACAGTAGAGAAGAGAAGATTTAAATATTAGAGACTTGTGAATTACATTACAGTAAACCTTCGTAGGCAGATAGTTAGACTTGATGTTTCCACTTTAAACGTCCTGGTTCAGGACCTGAAGAGGAACTAGAGACCTGGTGCGGTTAGACTAGAGACCTGGTGTGTTGCAGGATGTTGGAGGCCGGTGGGCGGCGGATGACGCCGAGTGTGTCATCGGGGGGGGTTTAATCAGACTGGCACCTCCCCTCACAGATGTTTCATTGTGTTTTACCCTCAACACCTCCAGAAGGCCTGGCAGTAAATCCTCTATCTGAAAGGATCTCCTGATGAATACTGTTGAGTAACAAAGACCACGGGGCTCCACATCCATCACTTCCAGCACTGATTATCAGCATTACAGCCCCGAATCAAGTTTTGGGTGCAGAGAAGCAGAAGGGCAGTGAAAGCTGGTTCAGGATCAGGTCGTGAACTCGGGTCAGATGTCTGTCATTCCTTCAGACCGACTCTCCAGACCTCCGAGGGTTTGGGGATGGGGGGGGGGTCCGGGGGTCCAGAGCAGACGGACGGACTCTCGCTCTCAGACCCCTCTGGAGTCAGCCAGATGCCTCCTCTGCTATTCTGGGAAGTGGATTCCAGCAAGGAATTTATTCACAAAGGCAGAAACGGTGGAGGAACGGGAGGAACAAGTGCCGACGCTTTAAAGCAGAAAGACACAAATTACTGCTAAAAATAAAAAAAGACAACCAGGAACAAAATGAACACTTTCACAGCGTCTTAAAGCTGCACTACGGCGCCATTTAGTGTCTTTCAGCTGGTGAACGACCTGCGACAAGCACCACGTTTCTTTGTGTGCAAGCCCAAAAGATTAACTCCTTGCTGTGCGTTCCAGTACCCACGCTACCAGACTATCTAGTATGCATGAGAAAGATCTAGTATGTCAAACACAGTATGCCAAAGTACCAGGATGTTCTACTGCATCCCGTCGCATTTCGCAGTACGCAAGTCAGCATGCTTTTCTGCCCATTCTGACCCACAATCCTCTGACCCTCTTGCTGATGTATATCTGCTACGCAAAGTTCAAGGTGCAAATGTTATAAGGAAGTAGTGTCCAAATTGAAAGCATACTGCATGTAACAGTATGTACTTTGAAAAAGATATGCGATTAACAACGCGGCTACGGCCTCGTCTGAAAGACACAATCTAATTTAATCAAAGTGACACTGAACAAAATGTACAGACACACAAACAACGTTTATGTTGTTTTACTGCCCGTCTCATGCCGACTCCTGCTGTTAAATGAACTAATTCTGTCAGTAATACGGGTTCTCACTGAGAACTTAAATACGTGTCTATTTTGTTGATTTTTGCGTACAAATGTAACGGGATGCTGCTTCTTCAGACACAGCAGCTGTTTGAAGCAATGAAAAGCTCCATTAACTCCATTGTACACTGACCAGAGAGTAGCTGCTGAACACAGTGGAGCAGATAAAGATATGGACATTTCCCTCAGGGGGTGGTGGAGAACAAAAATAGAGCTAAAAGAGACTCAATTCTTCATATTTGTTGTCAAATAAATCCAGATCTCAGCATTTACTTAGGCGAATACAACGTCATCGTAAAGGAGAAGAAAACGTGGCCGGTGATCGGAGGAACCATCTGTCAATCAAACTGTTGCCAAAGTGAGTCGGGAGAAGAATGAAAACATGTTTTATCAACAGAATCCTTCAGTGTCGTTCTTTCAATGAAGAAATTATCTTCTTTTTATCTATTTATCACTAAAAAAAAATCTCACTTTACATTGTGAAGTATCAAATTCACAGCTCTGATGTCTCGCAGCACGGCTGAGTTTTGTTAAACGTGCACAAATTGCTGAATTTGACACCGTTTCCTTCAGTGACATTGGGATCAGTGTGAGTGGACACTGAGCTTCAAAGTCTTTACATTTAATTTAATCATCACTTTGAACTGCCGGCGGAGGAGCTGCTTGCAGGTGAAACCGAGAGCCCGAGTCGGAGCATAATCCTCCGTCTCCACCGCGGCGCTAAGTGAAACTTTCCGGGTCGTGGGGTCAAAAACAAAAGGCAGCGCGGTAACATGACACCTCACGGCCGAGTCTCAACAGGTGGGAGAGAGGGACCTTCAATTAAAACGGGTTCCTGATGAGACTCAGCAGCTCCAGCTCTACAGTGAGCATCGACGACTCTCTGCTGAAAGAAGCAAACCGCTGCTGTCAACACGTCTGCAAGGCTTCAATTCAATCATCACACCTCCCAAAAAAAGACTACATTGATTATTTTAAAGTGGGTTTCTTGATGTTTAGGGGCTCACATGTACAGCAGGTCGAGGGTTCAGTTCCACTTGTTGAAATCTGAATCTAGTATCAAAGCAGAATCCTTTCAATCTCTCATTAAATCTCTTTAAAGAGAGAAAAAGATGGCGTCTTCCAAGTCTTTATTAAATGTGAGCCAGCACATTATATAATATATATATAATATCTTGACATACTGAACCCAACCAGTAACATTAGTAAAGATAAACCCAGTATGTGGCTCCAAAAGCAACAATTACAGCAAATTATGCCTGAAAATATTTTAAAACTACAACTTAAATGATCAACGTTGCAAGAACGACACAGTAATATATAAAGTCTGTGAACATCTACGGAGACGACTTCTTCCTCACGAAAACCATAGAATGATTCTTCTGTAGAGTTCATGTTACACAAACGAACTCCTCGTGTTCTCCAAAGCTAATTAGTGTCTGCAACATTCAGTCATGTGGTCATGTCATTATGTTCCGCATTCCTCGAACTCTCAGAGTTTTGGTGAAAGTGCTTCTGAAGTTTAACTTAAACGTGATTATTTCTTCAGCATGGAACATGTTAAAAACAGGATTACGGCTCATTAGACCACCTCATGTACATGTTCTGTTACTGAACACTGTTTATTCACTAGTTGATGCAACTTGCTGTTTGTTTTGAGTCCGTTTCTTTTAAGTGAAACTTCTCAATTCAATTTTATAGCCCAATATAAATCACAGATTAGCCTCAGAGGGTTTTACAATCTGTGCAGGACACAACATCCCCTGAAAAAGTCCCTCGAAAAAACATTTAATGGGGAAAAACAAACTTTTTATTTTAAGTCTCTTTCATGTGGAACTTTATATGCTGCCATCTTTAAAATGGCCTCATCTACAGATGCTTTCTGTAAAATCAATGAGCATCTTTTCCCTTAAATAAACAGAAGCAAAAACAAATCAACTAAAACAACTTGTGCTTTGAGATTAAAGTCTAAACTTCACAAATCACAGGACTCTACCCGCTTGGAACCAAAATATGAGATCATCTGAACACAATCCGACTCGATCAGGACGGTTATTGAACGTGAAAATGAAGAAATACATGCTTTTCTTCAGGAGGAGAGGATTCTGTACACCGTCAACAGTTTAAATAATATATCTTATTCACAGTAAACGCTCCTCGGTGGCCTGAGGACACCCCCGACGGACTGAAACAGAGTCTGAATGTGGAGTTCATCCTCTGCATGCTGGCTTTCCAAAGCACCTGTTGCTCAAAATAAATCTGCATGTGTGCAGAGATATGCATCTCGTGCGTGTGTGTGTGTGTGTGTGAGAGACATTCAGAGCATGCGACTGAATGTGAATAAAAGCTCATCACATTAGCAGCATGACAAACAGCTGATATCCTCCTCCAGCATTGATCTCAATGTGCTTATCATCTACGTCATTAGCTTTGCAGAAAGCTCCCCATTCATCCAAACAATGCAAAGCAGCCCGAGTGGCCCCGGGGTGTGGATCCATAAGAACAAGTGACTGGTGGTGGATCGACGGCCCAGCAGCAGCAGCCCCACCCACCCAAAATCCTCTCCAAATCCACTCCCAGCCTCCTCATGCCGGGGTGTGGACGACTACGGGGGGGTGTCCAGCTCCTCCAGGACAGCTGGGTGCATAAAAATACCCCCCCCCCCCCCCGCCCGACCAGCTGTGAGTGAGAAATGTCTGACCACACCCCTGACTCACCGTGAATCGGCTGCCATTAAATATGCCGGTGAACGGAGACGGCTTTCTAAATTTAAAGACAACACACGAGTCAGTTTAATTACACGGACCAAAGTCTGGATGCAAGACGGCTGCAGGGGCCGAGTGGTTAGGCAGCAGAGGTGCATTATGGGACTTGTGGGGCGGGAGTGTGTACTTAAGTGGCTGCTGTAACAGGGTGGGCATCGCCACACATTAAAATAAATGAGAATTAAAGACTTCAAAGTCTGGAAAAGTTATTTTAAGTTTAGCCTTTTACAACCTTTGTTGAACCAACGAGTAAAACTCAGCTGCGTTTATAACAAGGCTGCAACGATGAGTCGATATATCTCAAGACAAAAATGAATCTGAAGCTACTTTGATCAACGATTCATCATTTAAGTCAGTATTTAAATAAAGATTTCTAAAGTGTGAGATCTTCTCCTCGTCTGTCATGACACTAAATAGAATATTTGGGGTTTTGAACTGTGGGTTCATTTGTAGACCACCAAGATCACATTCCTTCACTATTTTCTGATAAATCAAGACAATAAATGTGCTTTTTAAGTTACAGCTGTGGTTTTGAAACGTACCTGCAGGATATCACTGAGGTCCAGCAGCATGTCTGAGAGGAACCGCTTAAGGAAACTAAACCACAAGAATCTGTTTTTTGACCAGTTGGGACAGAAGAGAAAGAGACAGGCAGAACAAACATGAAGTCCATTTAGTTTTCACACTTCAGGCGCATTGAATCAAAACAAGATGAAAATAAACTTTATGTATATTTAAATTAATCTGCAGAGTACTTTACGTACCTGGTATGAACTGAAGCAGCGAGCCACAGCCATTGTATTAAAAAGACTGATTTTAGGATTAGACGGATTCAAATCGCTTCTGTACGAATAGATAACGGGACGATACATTGATCCAGTTTTACGCCATCGGATCAATAAACCTCATTTACACATGAGGGCAGCTGCTTTCAAAGCCTTTGGGATTCTCAGATGCTCCAAGTAAACTGAAAACTTCATACAAATAAGAACAAATAACCATCGTTAATTGTTCTGTTGTTGAAGTTTGTGATACACTCAGAAACCAAAAAAATAATGTTTTCTTTAACCACTCGCCAAACATTCAGTTTGTCGAAGCCATAAGCTGTAAAAAAACAACATCTGATTATCCGACGGTCCTTGAAGACATCGTGTCTGACAAACATTTGAGTCAGAAATTCAACCAATTTTAAATAAAACACTTTATTCTACACGTCTCCTTTAAAATGATAAACCGTTTGCACAAACCAGACAATAAAACATAATCTGACGCTCAGCCGTGTCTGAACCCAGTTACTTCTTCCTTCTGATCAACACGTTTAACATTTAAATCATCTGCACTCAAGCCGACATTCTCACATAAAAACATTTAAATATCTTTAAAGTAGATTTCAGCACTTTCCACCACCAAACATATTCCACCTGTGGAAGCAAACTAAGAGTTATAAACATTCTGAGCTTGTGAAAATGTAATTCTACAGCTACAAATCTTTTTAATCCCCCCACCCCCACACACACACATTTCACAGACTAAACTATTAATGACCTTATTTGCGTTTATAGCGGTTTGACGTTAAAGGCAGCTGTGAGAGAAAAGCTAACGAGACACTGGATCTTCACCTCTGACCAGACGGCTCTCACACTCACACGCCTGCCTCATCGGCCTCTGGACACCCCCCTCCCCCTCACAATGACCAACCCCCCCCCTACTCTCGGACGGGTGCACCTGTCTCTGGGCTGCAGGCGCGGATTAGCGGGGCTCCTCTGAAATAAAATAAAAAGGGCTTCACAATGGAGTTAGCAGCAGCAGCGGCGCAGATGAAATGGAAAAGATAATCCCGGTGCACGCCGTCTGGAGATTACAGGCCGACTCCCTTAATCAGGAAACCTAACGACAGCAGGTCCTTCAACACATCTGGCTCCACTGAGGGGGAGACGCATGTTTACACCTTTATTTAGTGCACACTTATTTAACTATGCAGAGAGATGGATGTTAAAACTGAAGCAGCTCTCATGCTGATCTGCTGTGATCACAGCGTGTCCTCGGCTACATAGATAAACTGGCCTCTTAGTGTTTCATACTTGTGTCGATTAATGTTTCTTTAAGATGGTGAACACACAATCTCTGTTTCAGTTTGTGTGACAAAGTGTGCTTCTATTCAACATTAACTGCGTTATTTTTGGTAAACTTTTCTCACCACCGTCCAGAAACACAATATAAAACAGGCCTGAATCAAACGCCGTCTGTCCAACTATAAAAAGACACAAAAATAAAGAGAACACCATGGAAATCTTTGTGCCCGTCTCTTCCACGGTACGTTTTGCTGGTTCTACTTTAGTCGTGTTTCTATTCAATTGTCAAGCAGATTTTAAAGGAACGTAAAACAGGAAAAGGAGTGCAAATTATGGGGAATTTCCATTAACTGGTTTGGAGCGAATATGGTCAGAAGTTGGCACGAGAGGCTACTGTAGAGGCATGGCTGTAATCTACCAGTAAACAGAGTAGAAGAAGAAGAGGTTGTGTACCGGAAATAAAGCAAGTCGCCTCGGTCATCGAACCGTCTGAGAGAGAAACGAAGAGAGGTCTTTCATGTCAACTGGTATCGGTTTCACGTTATGGGAACATCCTGAAACAGCTGGACCATGAGCTGATTGATCGGAGTGATGACATTTGTTTTGTACGATGTTTTTTATAGATACATACTGTGTTGTGCCAGTTTTTTGGGGGATAAGACGAATGGGCAAATAAAGAGGCAAAAAAGCAGGAAGGAAAGTGAAGAAGGATAGAAGGACGAAGGAAGCAAAGACGTTAGTATGCAGCCTGATCGAGGAGATGAAAGTCTGGTCCTCCTTAAATTAAACTCCACATTTAAACGGATGTTTCCTTTTACACTCTGCTCTCCTTCTGCGTTCGTCCTGATTCTCCCGCTGTGAAAACATTACAGACTCACTCAGCTGTGGAAAAGGAAGTGAGCAGAGCTATTTTTAATCCTGGCAACGCACGCGCGCACACGCACACACACGCACACGCACACGCACACACGGTAAACAATGCAGCAGGAAGGCATTACACCCTCTGCGCCCTGCTTTCATTCGGTAAACCCATCCCGGTCGCCCCGCGCTGCCGTTACGCAACCCCATCATCCTCGAAGTGAGTCAGGAGTAAAACCGACACGAAGCAAAAGAGCCGTCCTGCTCATGACAAAAAGGATGAAGCAACGCTCTCCACTTCAATAAGCTGCCGTTAGCAGATTATGAAACATTAAGAAAAGGCCTCCGCTGGCTCACATCAAAAGTCACCTGCACACTTTGATGTGCCGCCCTCCACCAGTTCAACATGCAGACAGACTTTAATGTGAAACTCGTTCTCAGCCGTTAAAGACGTGCGATCAAATGAGAAGCGTCTCCTGGTGCATGCAGGAAACACCTTTCTTTGATTAGGTTTACTTTCAGACGCGAGTTTTCCTCTTTGCTATACAGTATCTAATTAGACCGAGTCCTCCATTGTTTGTTTGTTTGTTTTGGGGGATTTCTCGTGTTTATTGCACAGATGACAGCGTAGAGGGAGACCAGGAACAGGACGATAGAGGGAGGGGTGAGACATGCAACTGGAGCTGTGGCGGTGCAGGTGACAATACGCGGTACTAATGTCTTTTTGTGTGCAAATTACTTAATTTATCCTGATTGACAGGATACGAAATATCTGCAGAAGTAAAAAATGTCGACACGTGCAACGAGAGAGGACCGATCTACGTGTATTCATTTCTCCTCCATTATTGTCGTTGTTGTTGTTGTTCAGCACGTTGTACACGTGTGATGTGACAGTTGCTCCTCTGAGGCATTTGTCCCGCCCCTCCTGCCTTGTGATTGGACGGCTGGGTAAAAAGTGACAGTGATGAGTGCAGCTTTTTTCAACTCTTATCAACCAGAAAAACAAAAACAAAAGTGCAGCACTAAATAGATACTCGTCCCGCTGCTGATTATTATGAGGCACGTTCTTCTTTGTGCAAACACGTGCATCATAAGGTTGAATGTACTTTCTAGGTCATTAAGTCTATGATCAGGAAGAAGGAACGAACAGAAAGGATACGCGGCGTTCCCTCGGTGCGGCAGACCAGGTAGAGGCATGCGGCGACCACGTGGGAGTTCTTGCGTCCGCTGGTCAGGTGCTTCATGAGCGCCATCTTGTAGAAGTTCAAGGCCGTGTCCAGACAGTGCTTGTTCATCTGCAGCTGGTGACCCAGAGTGTTGATGTTCATTCTCGCTGGAGAGACACATGACAGAGAGCGGGTCAGTTCCCAGAAACACTGTAGACAAGCATTCACAATCTCATCTGCTTTTATCGGTAGAAAAGAGGAAGAACAAGCAGACATTTAGGCAGAGAGAGATTTATCTTCCAGACGCATGAAAGCGCTCATCTAATCTGACACAGTGCCCATTTAGAAAGACAGAAATGTGGTCTGATGCCAACATGAACCTGTCTTTGATGCACACAGACGTCATTACACGAGCACATGAACACCAGCGTATGCAAACGAGGCTCTGCAAACGTTTTCAGACACGAGGGTTTCATAATACACAAATGTAGAAAAACAGCATAATTATGTCAACACACACAACACACACGTACGTGTGCTCCACCTTTAGACACTAAAGCTAGCTCCAATGGTTTTTCTGTAGTAACAAAATCTGAGACCATTGATGAGTGTGTGGAGCAGAACCGGACAGATGTCGGACTCTGGTCGGAGCTACGCTATGATTGGCCAGTCTGCGTTATAGGGGCGGGACTTAGCAAAGCGTCAATTTAATTGCAGAGAGTGTGAATGTGAATATAATTTATGACCACAGATGAGCTCAACATAGTGAGTTACCTCATACAAAGAAGTGTGTGTGTGAGAGGCTCTGAACTCATCGTGTCTCGTCATGCTGTTTCAGTTTTAACTCTCAGATCTGAAACCAGCAGATTTACACACACACACACACACACACACACACACACACACACAC